TTGGTGGCAAAGAATAGGAAGAATTCAAGGAAGGACACCATAATGGTGAAACTGAGATGAATTCAAAATCCTTATCCAAAAAAACTTTCCAATGTATTGAAAGAAACCAGTGCTGAAACCTGTATTTCTTGTTGCTCCTGAAGAGGAAATAGTTAAGTGTTGTTTTGGTGACAAGCTCTGATCTGTCTAGCTTCATGTAAGCTCTATTTTCTCCCTGCAAAGTAAGAGTGGGGAAGTAGACAATAAGCTGAAATAGCTGATTTGTGAATAAAAATTACTGGCACGTGTGTTGTCTCCAGCAGAGACACTCTGAATAACATCAGAGATATTCTGAATAACTTTGAAGAAGGCATCTCATCTCCAAATTGAGAGATGCAGTTTTACACAACTGGTTGACAGACATGACTGACCTTTTTGTTTCATATTTGACTGATCTATCTCTCTAGTTTTTCTCTGCTCTTTTGTGATCTGTGAGCTCTGTTGTAGAGGTTATGTAGGTATTTCTTTGGTAAAGCCCTTCCAAGATTTCAGCTTTCAGTGGAAAGCTCAAAGAGGTAATTAAATCTTACTGATGCTAATGCTGTAGTCTGTTAAACATAAATTATCTGCAATTTGTCCATTAATTTTCATCTATAGCTCTATTATATACTATGCAGAGTCATAGATTTTAACTTGTTCAACAGAAATAATATTTTCCACAGAGGCAGTCTCTGTCATCTTAGTTTAATTGAATTTATTATGATTTCTGAGTCTCATATTTGCATTTTAGTTGAAGAAGTAAAACTATTTTACTGCCCAAACCCAGTTGAAGAGTATATGAAACATCTCAGATCGTTACTTACTACTGAGGTCAAACTTTCCTAATATCTGAAAGACAAAGATAAGGAGTTTCTGAACATTTCCAGAAGAGTAGTCTAGGTCTAGGTCTTTTAATTAAATCAGTCTGCATTAGGTATATCCTCCAAAAACTGGGAGGGTTTCCACAGGTTAGAAACTGAACTAACAATTTATGTGGAGGCAAAGAAAGGCAGTGAAGCAGCAGAGAACTCTGTGAAACCAATTGGCAGTGAGCCATCTGTTAAGCAACCGCAACTACGTCAAAGATATCTAAAAATATACCAGTTGGTTTGGGAACATAATGCCCTAACTCCAATAAAAAGGCACTTTGTAAACAATCAAAAAACTGCTTTAAAATCAATTGCATTTATTCATATAGCAATGAAATATAAGAGGTAGTTATCTTATAGACATTGTTAGTAAATCCTAAATAATTAAATTGTTTGTCCCTACTTCTCCTCTTTGGAGTAGAAACTAGCATTTTGCATTTTATTTCAATCCCATTGTCTCCTTCCGTGGCTTCCCCATGTCCTGACTCTGTCATATCTTGTCTTCCCTTTTTGCTTCTCCTGAGTTTCTCCCTCATCTATTTTCTATCCAAGCTGCCTTGGGCAGTCTTTCTTTGTAGAACCGTAGAATGGTTTGGATTTGAAAAAAATCCTCAGGTTCCAACCTCCTCACTGTTTCCCATCCCACTCACTTCATTCACTTGCTCTCACGCTATTGTCATTTCCCCCTTGTGGGAATCCTACTGCTTTCCTGCAATTCCACCTTTCCACTTTAGCTTCCTTCTTCCCACATTCCCTTCTCCTATCTAAACTACAGACCTTGCCTTTCTTTGCAACCTCCAAGCTGGACTTTCTGCGTTTCTGTCTTTCTCCTCAATTCTGGTTTTTACTTTCAAGTACTTTTGTTTCTGTGCAGCTCCTCTTTTCCACCTGTCTCTTATATGCACCTGTCTTCTTTGTACTACCAGCTTATCCGTCAGAAACTGGGGACACTTTTTGGTGTTGTTTTAGTGTTTTGCTCCAGTATTTTCCACCTACCTGAGTCATAAGCCTCAGGTTTGAGAATCAGTGTAAAGCTTCAGTCTTGATTAAGGCATCGGTGTGACAGCTCTGAATGAAACATCATCATTTTTTCCTGCATCTGCCCAACGGTGTCATCACTGCTGTTGTAAGAGAGCCGAGGGCAGCAGCCTTGATTTGTGATTCATTCTGTGCCAACACTATGGCCCCCTGCAGCAGGCAACAGCTGGCTGATGGTGAGACTACCAACAAAAGAATTGCCCATGAAACAAGGTTGAACAGTCTTAATTCAGCCTTGCTAGAGTACTGGTAACATGTGAAGGTTCTGAGTCACTAATTCCTTAACAGTTTCCACAGAGGCAGGAATTGGTAGCTGACAGTTAACTCCTGAACTGGACACAGATGAAAATCTAAATTTGACATCTCTCTTCCACCCTTCCTTCACACAAAAACTACTGAGAGAAGTACAAGAAAACCTGGCCACCAGCACTTTGGTGCATTGTTAGCTGAAACACTGTTACAGATTGAAATATTGCTGATTTCATTCATCTACATATAGCTAATTTAGAGTGTGCTTCCCAGTGTGATGGTGATTTTAGTTCCTGATCAGGGCACATGTTATGTTATTTGAGGACATCCCAAAAGTGGACTATACAGTGACTGATTTCAAGAGCAGATGTCACTGTTACAGTAGTTTACTTAGCAGCAGCTTTTTTTGGTTGCATCCATCCAGTCAGGCTGCAAACATGAAAACAGGAAACATTTCCCTGTTTGTAGAGGTCCATCTGCAGTAATAAATATAAGCATATATATTTTGAAACAACCATTTTTAGAAACCTGTGTTGAGGATTGTACTGCTGCTTGGGCTTTATGCCCTTTCAGATTTTGTTGCTTACTCTATACATTTTTAATAATCACATTGCCTGCTAGCAGTGACATTTTGTGAAGGTCATTTTTCTTATGAAGTTGGAGAATGGACTTGAATTTCATTGAAGGACTCCCTGAGCTGCAGGATCGTTGTTTATGGACTGTCTTGCGTCTTGTACTACCTTTGAAGCCTGCTTAGAATTTTAACTAATGATATCTTCAAAGTGTCACTGTGCTCAAGGGCAGAAAATAAATCTCAAAATGTACTTTATATTTAAAAACAGTTTTGAATACCTTTGAAGCATGGTATTAACTGAAATGAAAAGGCACAGATACAGACTTTCTATGTATGCACATACAGGGAATTCCATGTTTCACTGACCTTTTCATGGTCAACAAAGTGTCTCTTCATTGCAATGCCATTACCCTCTATATTATAGAAATCATCAGGTCTGTGGATGTCTTAAGAATTTTTAATGTAGTTGATGATTTTATATCTCAGCAGGTATCTTAAGGTAATCTCGCTCCATGGAGGAGTTTTATTTTTGTCTATATCACTCCAAGCTCACTTCTTCTTATTTTCCCTGTGTAAAATGCTGTCACTGTATTTATATGACTTTTCTGTTTCTGCGTAGGGGATGGTAGATCCAAAAACCAACATGCTATGCTTGAAATACAGGAGACTGTGGTGTCAGCTACTACATTAAAATTGCTTGGTCTTTTATAAACCAAAGTTCCAATTTCCTGTAACTGAGCACATACAAGTTTGCTTATTAATAAAGTACTCAAAGATTTACATGATAGCAGTATCTGATGTCTTCTAATACTGATATGAATTTACTATTAATAAAGTACTCAAAGATTTACATGATAGCAGTATCTGATGTCTTCTAATACTGATATGAATTTACAATTAATTAATATTCTGATATTCCTTTAAAAAATGTCAAAAGCTAATGACCATGTTTGAGAATATGGCAATTTGAATATCCGTACTCTTGATGGATTTTGTTTTTCTGTTTTATTTATTGCTTCATGTAAGCACCCTTACATGTAAGGGTTCTTCTTTCAGGGACACTGTTGGGGTAATTTTGTCATTTTCCTTCCCTAGGACTTTAGTTTTCTGTTTGTAATTAAGAGCTTAGTACAGTAAGAAAAGTACAGGTGTGTGATTTATAATTGAATCTTTCCCACAAAATAATTTGCCTGGTTTTTGTCTATATCAAACTGCCAAGGAAATTCAGTTTATTCAGGGTGTCCTTATATTTAAGATGTTCTATTTCTGTTTGATAGTTGTATCGTGAAAGCATTGTAGTTTGTGTGTATGTTATGGCGTGGATTTCATAGTTCTATGACCATTGCTACCAATTTAGCTGTGCTGAATAAGTTAGGATCTTGTTTCAGAGCATGAAGTGATATGATCCACTGAACAGCAGCTGCTGTGGGGGAGATGAGGAGAGGATAGGGCTGTAACCTGTCTCAAAGATGTTGTGTCCTCAGTAAAGGTAGATGTTGGGAGACTGGACAGATTGTGCATTTGAGAAAATTTGTGTTAGGAAGTAAGGACAGAGGGTTGTGCATGATTTTCTGTCTGATTCCCGGTTTGGGAAAAAGACTAAAAAGACAAAAATTTTCAGACTCTGCTTCCAGACTTCTCAATGCCCACTGCGTATGGACTGCTTATGAATAAAAGCCACCAGCCTGTTTGGAACTGCTGTTTTGCTGACATGATCAAAAGGGAAGGCCTCAGCCTCTGGCCATTATCATTACCATTTTACTATTTTCCTGCCTGCCTGCTACATGGGCTTCCCTTTGCAAATTTTTTTTTCTATCTTCTGCACAGACTGATTCATCCTTCTCATGCCTGGGAAAATCTCAGCAGGAAAATGCACAAGATTGATGAGGAAGAGAAGGCAGTTACATTGGTCTTTTCTTTGCTTATTCTCAGTTTTTCCTTTCTGATCGAGGCAGCTGTTATTTCTGTGGTGTTGGTTAACACTTTTTATATTTATAGGGTCCTGACTTTTATAACTTTCTATAGGAATCTTCACAGTGCTGCTAACATTCCTTCATCCCAACTCCTTATCTTTCCCTATTTTGCACAACCAAGAGAAAATTCTGCAGCACATTTCAGTTAAGAATTTAGCAACAACATTTCTTGGCAGAAAAAAAAATGAGGAGATATTCCTACCCAATTTTTAGCTGGTTTCATTTTTTTCTTATCCTTACACTTGTTCACTCAGTTTGCTATTTAATCTTTGATTGCAGGCCACTAAAGAAGTAATAGAGCGAGAAGCCCCGGGGATGGCCCTGGCAATGCTGATGGGATCACTTAATGTTACACCTCTGGGCATGCTCTCTAGGTAAGACTCCTTCCTTCAAAACAGGAGGTGAACTCTTTCTATAGGATTACTTGCTGTTATCCAATGGCTGTGCACAAATCATTGAAGGTGATAACTGCCATTGTTGTCAAGACTGTAAGTCTTAACTTCAGAAAAGGGGCCAAATTCAAATAATGGTAATTGCATTGTCTCATTAAATTCCCTTTGTTGTCTCTGTTAGAGACTGTATCCTCCTGTATTTTCTGTGCCAGGTTATTTGTAATATTGATGCACACTCTTAAATAGCTGTCTTTTCATTCTAGAATTGTGGTGTTTTGGGGGTGAGTGAAGAATTTCTCTGTATGTTGTTCATCAAGTATTAAAATGCTTTGTTTGGCAAAAAAATCCCTTTAATAAAGACAGATGTTTTGTACTGTCCTACATATGGAGGAATATCATTAATTTATCTCTCAAAGCACCTGGAATGCATGCACAATCTGTGTGGTTTTCTTGAAAGCACACACAATACTTTTGCCAGCCATGCAGTTCTTAAGCTCTTTAACTTACTTTTACATGCTCTTTTGAAAATTTTTGGCAGCTCCATTTCTCTCTTGAGCCAGTAGGTCTGATTATTGGCAGTTGATATTTGAGTTTCATGCTGCTGGTTTAGTCCTTTTTTAATTATTGGTTGGTTGCCCTGGACATTTAGCTTCTAATGCTCAAAAACATTTAAAGCAGAGTAGAAGAGCTGAGAAGATGACTACTAAAGGAGCTGTCTGCCAAACACAATTCCACCTCATTTTTATTCCTCTGTGGACACTTCTTAATACCTTTGTTTTAAATCTACCATAAACTGGATTGAGTTTGTACTCTGTAAGCTTGACTACTGCAACTGGGGTAAATGCACACAGTTCTTTAATTCAGGCTCATCTTTGTGCTGCAGTAGAGATTCCTCAGCTACCTGGAATTCTTTCTAAACTGAGGGTACATAGTGTGAAAAAAGGCATTATGAAAAAAGAGAGTCTAGGAGTCAGGCAGTACTCAAATTGCCAGTTGAAAACAACACTTCAGGCTGGCTTGTGTATGAATTCAAAAGTTCATTTAGTGGCACAAAGACGATCTCTGTGCTAATTACTTGAGAGCATTGTGACAGCTCATGGAAGTACTTGTTGCCCTGCTAAAAAATGCCATGCGACCAATAAACAGCATTAATCACTGAGAATTATTTATATAAGAGGAAATCCAAGGAAGTTGGCTACCCAATAAGCCATGTCCTTTGGCTCAAAATTCTTGCTAATGCCACAACTAGAAATTATTTTCTTTTCTGTTCTATCTTTACTTACAGCTCATGTTTTTATTCAATAGACTATTACACAGTTTATCTAAACTGTAACCTCCATATCTTCATGGTTTAGTTTTGCCTTTTACATTTTTCTTGTCCTTATATCCCAGCCTTGTGTTTTTCATCCTGGCTTTTGTAAACAATGGAAGCAGTCTTTACAACCTCAAGACAAAATTCTGCAATTTAGTTGGTTTTTTTTTTTTTTAATATTTAGCTAAAATGTTGAATAGTCAAACTCTAGACAACAGAAAGCATTCAGCACTTAAGTGTTCAGCCTTACATCAACACCAAAGAAATTTCTAAAAGACAAAAAAAATAAAATAAAAACTTCCATCTTTGATAGTTGGTCTTGCCTTTCTTGAGGGAGAGGGAAACACTATTATGAAGAATTATATATGAATTGCATAAGTACAATTTTCATTTGAGGATTACTTCCTTCTCTGCTTTTCTTATATTTAATCTTTAAATCAAAAGGACATATTTGAATTAATGCAACAAACACAACTTAGTATTTTTACCTGGCCAGGGACATAATGTTTGACACAATCAATTACACTGCAAAGGAACCATGTGTGTATGACCAAATAGGGACTGTATCAAATCATTTGTTGGGTGCAAGTAAACAGTAGAATTAAGGGAGCTACTCTTTATTGAGAGATCTCAATAAAGATGGAAATCTAGCCAGTGTTTACACTATCAAATTAATGTTAGACCTTGTCAGTCTTGTTTTATGCTTTTTCATCTCAGCTTCTCCCAAGTTCTTTTATGAGAACATAATCAGCAAATATATTGGAAATCAGGTTTACAAAATCTGATAAATCATAGAATTTATCTTAAATGCTTTCCTTTTGTTTTGATCATGGTGATAGTTGCATGCAAGAATTTCAGTCTGTATTTGTTTCATTTCAGGCCTGTGTGTGGAATCAGAGGGAAAACTCTCATAATTAATCTTCCAGGTAGCAAGAAAGGATCACAGGTAAGAAATGTTCTTACTGATCTGCTAGGAAGGAACCATGATGAGCACTTCTCCTTGTTTTGAATGTTAGAAAGTGCCCAGTATAACAGATTTTATAAAAGCTAATTGAAATACATATTCATGTAAAGTTACCACACCATCACACCAGGGACCTACAGCTCCAGTCTGACTGCGGGTGCTGTGCGACCAGGACAACAGTGCAGGAGAGCACTCACGTGAGCAGCCAGTGCTGAGGAAGAGTCTCACAATCTCTTACACTTTCCCTTTCTTCTCTGATTAGCTGTACCTTATCTCTGGATTGTCTCCAGCTTCCAAGAAATCATTCTTTTCCACACAGAAGTTAGAGGAATGCGTATTATATGGTAGAACTTGCTGGAGCATTTGCAGTTTTGAGGGAAGCAAGAGGGAAGAAAGGGAATATAATTTTGAAGAGTTTGGAATGCTTTTGAATCTTCTAAATATGGGTATAGCGGACTTTTCATTCTTTATACAGTTTGTTTTCTTCCTGCATTTTGCTCCATTGGATGGACAAGGTAGAATTCTTGTCTTTATTCATGCTTTCTGTCTGACAACCTGATACAAAACTGCTGAGGAAGGTCCCCCATCAATCACAAGAATCTATTTCTTCAGGGCTCAGACTACATCTGGCCTTGTTAATAAATGTCTTTACCTGTGGCCTCTAAGAAATGCACACCTGGTACACGTCTCCCGAGCCTGTAGTATCCAGGCACAGAGCAGACCGTACCGGTGTGTTTAGGAGCACAGCCCTGAAGTCACTGTTTCTTGAAAGACTTCTGTCTGGAGATGCAAAAACAACATTTATGTGGGCTGTCACAGTTGAAGAGGAAATGTTTTGAATAGTATGATCCTAAGCAGCCACCATAGGTTTTCAGATACACTCTCAACATGTTTCAGTTCAAGGACTCAGTGTGAGCCCTCCTGTGATTCTACCATTCCTCACAGTGTTTCTGGAAATCTAGTGAGACTGTAATTTAAAGGAAATTTAAAAGTCTTCAAAACACACAAGAGGCATTGGAGGATGGTGAGGTAGGAGTATGCCTTCTTGAAGTTCTTCCAGTCATACATGTGAAATCATATGTATGTACATGTATTTAATATAGCAATGGCCCCCCATTTTAAAGAAGTGATGCAACAATAAGAAGGTTATTTCACAAGTAAATACTACTTCTGCTGAATTAGGAGAGAGATGAAATAGCCTACAATTTCTAATGGTTTTTGTGTTCAGGAGCTCCTAACCCACAGAAGCAATTGTCATTTTCTGTCCTGAGGCAATCAGACTTTGAAGATAGGTAAATTGCAGAAAGTGAATGAGGAAAATAAATGAAAAAAAGTATTAATAAGTATTTTAACAATAGATTGATGTAGGGTAAGTAATAAAAAAGGTAATTCTGCTGGAAAATAAAAAAGCCATATGATTGCATCATACAAGCAAGCTTCTGCTGAACTGATTTTTATTTGTTGCTGTCATGATGATGGCTGTCCTGTAATGATTTCTTTTGGTGTGAGACATCTGTAAAGTCTCAGATTTTAGGAAAGACTTTTAAGATGAAGAGTGAAGAAAACTGGTCCATAAAAAGCTGAATCTCAAGAACCAAAAAAGACAGATTGTCACCTGGAATTTCCTTCATTTTTCTCTTTCACCACTTGCTAATTTCTTTTCCATTTTATAAATACAATCACATGAGAAGCTTATATAAAGCTATGAAATTGCAGCAGTATACATATTTCTTTAATAAAATATTAATGGAAAATGACAGCAGTGTAAATGCTTCATCTCAGAAGTGGACTGCATGCCAAATATGTTTCCACCAGAGAACATTTGTATGGCATGTACCACTGAATCCAGATCTGCAGAAATCTTCCATTTTTGTGTTGAATTTTTTGTTTTGGTTTGGTTTTTTTTTTTAGTCTTGAAAAGGATAATTAATATTATAAAAGAGGGCAAAGTGTGAAATGACCAGATGTTTATTAAATCTTTGTCATTTTATAATTGTAGTAAAAATTGCCTAAAACAATGAGTTTCATATGTAACATGAGCTTTTAGAGGACTTACTGGAAATCTGTGCATTAAACTCAAGCCAGCAAGGCTTTTATTTCGGGGCTTGGAGTGGGGAACATGCTTCTCTAATTAGTCAATTATTAGTGTACTTTTTCAGTTATTGGTCAGTTCAGAGATTGTTGTTCTTGTTTCTCACTTGAGATCTGCTTCTTTGCTAAAGTAATGATGTTATATGCTTCATTATTTTAAACAATTTAGAAAGTAATACTGTGAAGGCACAGTAGCTCTGCAGTTTGAAGTTACGTTATAAGTCATAATCTTTATTATCTTTACAAATATGTTTTAATATACATTCATTATACACAGCATTTGTGCTCACCTGGTTTACCCCAGTTCTTTGCAGTACCAACTTGAATGTTTAAAGTATTTTTAAATCTGTGAAGTAGTCTGACTATTTGTTACTGTTAAAGAAGCAACTGAAAAATGTGTTCTTATTTGAAGCTGTGAGGAAATACAATGCTTCTGAGTCATGTTTAAATTACAAACTGGGATATATAAACTCCAGTAATTTCTGATGGATTCTCTGCTTTTTATTTTGTTTACATAGTTATGCTTATTTATTGAAAATATTTATTTCAATATCTATTTATAAAATTATTTATTTTCTGGATACTCTAAAATATCAAAATACATTTTTTAAAACCTTCCTATGCTGGAAACAAAACCGAAGGGTAACAAAAGGAATAATGCCAGCTTTGTCTGTCAACCTGCCTGCCATCATTTTCCAATACTGAAATGTTTATATGCAGTCTGCTCAAACAACGTAAGAAGACTTTTTCTTGTGATGCCTTGGAGAAGAATAAAAGACAATAATCAGAAATTGAATGAGATAGCTTCCAGATGAAAAGAAATGGAAAACCAAAACAAAACTGAAAAAAAGCCAAACACTTCAAGGGTAATTAAGCATTAAAGCATGTTGTCAACAAGTGTTGTGGAGTCTCTGTTCTTGGATTGTTTTTCAAGACTCCACTGAATAAGCCTTATGAAGCCTGAGTTTCATACTGACCCTGATCTGAGCAGGCAGCTGCGGCACATCACATCCTGAGGTTTCACTTTGATTTGATGAAGTACCAGTGTATTTTAGAAGCATAGATAGCTATACATGGTAGCTATATGTATGCCCATTATGGAACAAGGTCTTTGCACTTTTGCTTTCTCCAGCCATATAAAATAAACTTTCTAATTGTTTGTAAGATTATAGAACAAGGAGACCTTTGGAAAATAGCTTGTTTATGTAGGTTTTTTTAGTTACGTGGCATTCTAATGATATCAATGTAGTTTGTCATTCTTCCAGTATATAGAATAAGTCCATGAATAAAAAAGGATCTAATTATATAAAAGTAGAATTATGGAAACCCTTATGAATTGTTCTCTAATTGTGAGGGAGCATAATAGGAAAGATTTGAAGTTAATATCCCTGCAGGGATAAACTTAATGTTTTTCTTCTGCGATTTTGTAGCATTCTGCCAGCTGCTGTGAACTGTTTTCTGTATTACATATTCACAGAAATGAAACTCTTGTTTCCAGTATTAGCTACAATAGCCCTGTTGTGCAATTTCCTGTACTTGCTTGAGAAAAGGCAAAAATGTATAGAATAGTCACTAGATCTGTTTCTGAGTTCATTTATCTTTTAAGAGCAGTTGCATAGGACATGGTAGGTTTTATTTATGATCAGGTGAAAAGAGGCATCTAAATCCCAAACGTATTTAAAGAATGAAGTCATATTTGCATGTGCAGGTAACTTTTCATAGTGGTTCCTCTTCTCGTTCTGCATAGGAATGCTTTCAGTTTATACTGCCAGCCCTACCTCACGCCATTGATCTCTTGCGGGATGCCATTGTAAAAGTAAAGGAGGTACACGATGAGCTTGAAGATCTACCTTCACCACCACCCCCTCTTTCTCCTCCTCCAACCACCAGCCCTCACAAACAGACAGAAGACAAAGGAGTGCAGTGTGAGGAAGAGGAGGAAGAGAAGAAGGATAGTGGAGTTGCCTCAACAGAGGACAGTTCTTCTTCACATATAACAGCAGCAGCTATTGCAGCTAAGGTGAGTCTGGCTTCTTTCCTTAAGAGACCCTTTGGTTTCTGTCTCAGGCACTTTCCACCAATATCCATTTGCATGTTAAGACTATACATTGATGTCTGTGTGTCAAACAGATGTATTTCAGGTACATTTTGTAGATGTAGAGCTTCATAAAAATATATGAATTCTATTTAGGTAGGTGATTTCAAATTCCAGTGGGAGAAATACAATTTGTTATCTGAATGTTAACATATGTTTTATGATACCCTTGTGATGTGGCAGACTGGTTTTAGTTACATGACTTTTTTTAATTCAAAGTATTCACACACCTGAACATGCAAAGTCCAGTAGGCAGCATGCTAAGGAATCACAGCAAAATTTTGCAACCCATAATATCTAATTTGAAATTAAAATTTTCATTTCTGAAAACAGTGATAAAAGTGTGACAGACAGGTAACAATTCAAGTAATAAACTATCCAGTTTACTGTATTCCAGTGTGCATGTCTGCATAAGAGATGTGAAATTCTGCCAACAGACTAAATATCATAATGTTTCTATACCCTTGCTCTAACCAGTAATCATAGATCAGCATTACTCTAACTAAAATAAATTGGAGACTCCAAAAGAAAAAAATGAGGTAATACTTGTAAATAATTTCAATTCAAATTTTAAATATTTTCCAAGAACTATTGTGCAATTTGAAGCAGTATATAAATACTCAGTTTTATGTGTTCAGTTTTCAAATGGGAAGTTAATGTATCCCTGTGTGTTTGGAAACAGTTTCCAAACTGCTTTGTTCTATATCTACTCTACAAGTTGTGCTTTTAATTCCTATTGCGAGAATTGAAAGTCTAAGTAACTCAAAATTATATTAAACATTTTCTAAACCAATGCAGCAGCATCCTAACTCCAGAAATGTGAATTCAGGTGTGAGACATCTTGACATTTCTAAGACAGCTGCAGCTGGAGATCATCTCCCAATATACAGAAAATTCTGATTACATATGTCTTTGCAGGGATGAATTAAGGTAATTATAATTTGCAAGTATCAGTTCTTATTAATGCAAATTTTAAATTGTTTCATTTCTTTTTATGCAGGCAAAGATAAATAATGTGTGCCATTTTTAAAGGCAGGAAATACCTGAGATCTCAACTGGCTGTGTTCATATGAGCTTGGCATTTCAGTGTCACAGCTGTTTTCACCTCATTCATTTTTGGTCATTTGCTTGTACGGTTTCATGTTTTCCTGCCACTGTGTTCATAGCTGTTATGTGTTGTGCATTAGAAGCATCCATCCTATACCAGTCCAGCTGTTATCATGGCTAAAGGTCAACAGCCCATCCCTGGTCTCATCAGTCATTGCCATCACGCAGCAGGCAGTGCAGGAGAACTGGTAAGAGACACTTCCAAGAGGCTTTTGCACTAACACTAACCAAAAATGCTCTGCCTGCCTCCCAGTCTATGTATGAACAGAGAGTGTTGTTTATTTTCTTCTAACAAAGACATATCAGCGATATCTTTGAGAGCACACGTTACAGAAAATATCTGTGTAAGATAAAGGGCTAAACAAGGTAAAGGTCATGTGTGTTGTCACTTTGAATCATTTAGCTGCTCAGATAATAATTGCTATAAAGCCTCTGTTTCTGATTAGTCATTGGCTTTATCATCTAATATACTCAATAATTGAATATAATTAAAATAATCTCCTCAAATTACTGCTTTAGAGCTGTGAAATGGTAACTTTTCCTCTTCGTCTTGTTTTGCTGCTTTTTTCTCAGGAGTTTTTTTGTCAACACAATACAACGTACACTGGGTGTTCATAGTTTGCTTTCATCATTTGCAGTTTCTGCCTTACTTTTGTTTTCTGTGTAGAAGTAGAATTTCTCAAAAACAGAAGACTTCAGGAGTCAGGAAGCAGTGGATTTATTATAAATTACTGGGTTTTAGTGAATAGTAGAAAACTGTTTCATTGAATGGTAAAAAATAGGACCTGCTCCCTTAGGCAAATAGTAATTTAAACCATCAATCAAATAGCCTAACACCTCTGTATTTAAAACTTGTGTCTCCAGAAAAGTCACTTAGGAAGGGTGAAGACTTTGAGGTTCACACACCTGATGATAAAGCTATATAGTTCATATACATACATACATACACCCATTTATTGCAGTGGTACTTTTTGGAGTTCAGGTTGCTAAACTAGAATTTGCACCATGTTCTTCAGCAGAACAGTTAATTCAGCCTCTATGAAGAGCACTGTTAAACTGTCATACATGTTCCTGTGGTTTTTTGCAGATTACTCTTGAGCTATTGTTTTATGCATTCTATAATCCAAATCAGATCTTCAAACTCGGAGCAGAAAGTTCTTTGGCAGGTTATTGGGTTTTTTAAGCTGTCCTTTCTGTATGTTTTTAAGACATTCTTTTCTCTTGTATAAAAGTCATAGTAATTGCCACCTACAGATTGTTTTCTTACCTCACCATCATTGTCAATCTTTGTTTTAGTTCTGAGAAAAAGAGAATAAAGAGCTCACATCTTTAACTTTTTTCCCCTTCTTGTCAATGCTCTTGTCAAAGTTCTCTAATATGAAAGCACAAATATTTAAACCAAAATAAAAGTATGTCAGAGAAAGGCCAGGTCAGATAAAAATTGTGGAAGCAATGGTTATGGTGAATATCTTTCTCTGTAACTTCATTCCTCATTAATTTCTGTCTTTGTCAGTATGTTACAACAGGTTTTCCACTCCAGCTAGTGCAAACAGAAACTGTTTTCACTTAGAGCTAAGAATTTTATTGTACCACATTTAAAGTTTTGAGATCTCTGCTCTGTATTTAATTATTTGAAACTGAAAAATGAATAAAAAATATTAGGGAGACAAATCGTAAATGCTCAGTGTGACTCAGTGCAAGTTAAAAGAACAGTCTGTCCAAAATGCAGTAATATTGCTGCCTTCTTTATTTCAAGTTTCTGTGCACCAGGACACACAGAAATTTCTTATGGGTTTATTAACCTTTTTAACAGAGTTAACTAGAAGTTGCCTTGATTAGAGACTTACATTGCCTAAATTTAATTTTTTAATAATAAAATTCAAAAACTCTCTAAATGTAGGTGAGAAAAATGAGAAATTCCCCAATGCACATTATATTTTTATGTGTGCCTCCGGAGAGGCCTGTAGCTTTTGCAGAACAAACCTTAGGCTGAGATTTTTTGTAAATCTCCTGAAATAAAGTCTTCATGGAATGAAGAGTATTTACTCACTGCATGACATTTCATGTGAGAAATTTTCTCACTGCATGATGTTTCTTTAGAGGGGTTCAGTAAATTTCTAGCAAATGGTTAAATGGTTTTCTTTTCAGAATATTGCCCCCTACTTAGTGAATGGAAAGTCTGCCTTCCTTAGCCATGGTAGAAATCAGTGTTGGTCATTGTTGGGTTTGAAAGAAAGGTTTACAAGGAAGCCGTTATTTTCTTATTGCTTCCTGTTGTAGTATGTTTGATTCATAATTTTTTCAGGACAACTAGTATGTTCTGTGCTACTTCAGTTGGAATGTGGCCTTGTATATTTGTTAGGTATTTGTGACTGAAATTAGGAGAGTATGCCATTAACCGCTGCCAAGCACTGAGTATGAGGAGGTGCAAACTAAGGAGTGAGGTATTCCTATGTTTTTGTGGTAAGGTTTGGAGTAAATTTTACATACAGTGTATTTTTTGCTATTAATTCCATCTCTCTTGTTTTTAAGATTCCAGATTCCATCATCTCTCGAGGTGTTCAGGTTCTCCCACGTGATACAGCCTCCCTCAGTACTACACCTTCAGAATCTCCTCGTGCCCAAGCCACCTCTCGCCTCTCCACTGCATCCTGCCCAACACCAAAAGTAAGTACATTTATGCCTTGCAAGCTCCACGCTCAACCCTGTAATCTATCAGATTAATGTATTGCCTCTGCTGAACAAGGTTGGTTCGCATGCAAGGGTTGTGTCATTCTACCTAACATAATAATATAAATGCGAGACAGCGTAGCTCCTTCCACGTGTACTGTTGCACGGTTTAACCTGTGGGTCCACCAGCACCTAATGGTTACTGAAGTTTCATGTTATCTCTTGCAATACTGATCATTAATATGAAATTGTTAGCACATTGAATGTATTTAGTATCCCCTCAGTATCCCCAGGAACATAGATAATCCTGCCACTGAGTGACAACATTAAGCAAATAGTATTTTGTCAAAAAGTATGTGCAAATTTCTAGCCTGGGCTGGGGCAGATCTGTGCCCCACTTTATTATTGTTCAGTTTAAGACTTTCAAATCAACTGGCTATGCTCAAACTTAGATATTTGCTGCCTGACATTTGGAAACAAAAAACAGCCAAAATTAAATAGAAAGAAAGTTTTAATGCCAACCTTGTGGGATTATTATTCAGTTCTTAGTGATTAGACTATCTTATTTAATCATTGAGGTGAACTCTATATGTTTACTTTTTATCAAGCTTTAAACAGCATACATCAAAAACTAAGCAAATTGACCAGTGGCAAGGTGTGCAATGTTTGCATTCAGCAGAATTCCTTTCAGCAAAGAAAACTGTCTAAATTTGCTTTGTGCGTTCACATCACAAAGATCTTTCTGTGGCACCAGATGCTGACATACTAATAAACCAGTAGCAGATGGCAAATAATAATGTTCTTCCTTATCTAACTCATGATCCTTGAAGATTATTCTGCTTGCTAAAAAGATTGCCAGCATCTGCTAGTTCTTCTCTCCTACTGTCTCATTCTTTTCTGTCAGCAAACAAGATTTATGGGCAACCACCCATAGAAATACTTTGGTTTAACCTGTGGGATTGTTTTATGCAGTAGTTATCTTCACTGTAATAGAATCAAAATTATTCTGATGGACAGCAAACTTGAGCTTCATTATATAGTCTACTTTTCTCAAGATCGTTCAGTGAATTCTATCTGTAAGCATCTCCTTCACTTTTTTCCTAAAATTTGTATCTTGTCTAATGGCTTAAAAATAAAAGCATAGAGCTTTATGCATTACAATGCTCAGAGCAGAAGAGCAAGACAAAAGTGCACTGAGCCTTATGCCTGTTGATAAAACAAAATTGTCCAAAGAAAACAAAAGGTGACCAGCAACAGGCATAAATAAGAGACATCTCTACTGAAAAATAGCTCTAGATGATACCTATATATTTTCATGAAGTTTATCCCAAAGGGAAGGAGTAAAGCCTATCTCTTATGAAGCAGAATGCAGAATCCTCTAGACTGTCTTGACAGATTCAGAGATTACAGAAGAAATGTACTAGAAGTTTGAAACAGATTGAAAATTTGAAACTGTGTTTGGGCAATTAGTGGAGATGAGCTCATTTCATAATTAGATCACGCTTTGGTATTTCATGTATGACTGCAAAATCAGGTTTTGTTCAAAATGTGTGAGACCACACTACTTTTATAACAGGAATTGCCATGCAGCATCTAGGTAGATTAGATTTTCTGTGATGTATTTGATGGTGGTTTGTTACAAGCTGATAAAGGGAAAAGTCAAAAAACACCCAACTGGAAAATAAACTTGATGGGTGATGGCATCTTTTCCTAATACTTAGAGGCTGGATTTTGCATATAAGCTTCTTTAACACTTAGAGAGTTCTTGGTTCATTTTGTGTATTACTTTCAAAAAAACAAAGTAACTACCCATTATCTTTTTGTTCAGTCCTTTACAGTATCCTCAAGTTTTCAAACATCATCTGAATTTATCAAGAAATGTGGTTCATTCAGATTCTTCAATATTGTCATGTGTCTAAATGTCTTCACTTATTCTGTTTTTCCTTCTGGATCCTGGCTTTCTAATAATGCAATATGAATTAAGTTTATACTGGCCTCTTGCCCACACAGTAAGGAGAATAAAAGTAAATTGAACTTCAGCATCCAGGTGATGTTCCAAGGTTGTTTATTTTGCTTCTTTAATCTGCAAGTGTTTATCTTTTCAATAGTCTCATTTTCTGGTTTAGAACTTATTTCAGGGCTCCAAAACATGTAGATATGACATGAAACAAAGATAAGGAAGTGTCAGGTGAAAAAAATTATTTCTTTGGTTATACTTATTTTTGAAGTGGTGGTCTAGCCACAGAGCAAGTGGCACTATATTTCTTTGTCAACTGCATATTCCAGTTTATTTTGTTGTACTGTTTCCTTGTTGTATTTTTTTGTCCTAAGCATACATGAACCCTTACATCTCTCTTACTGAATTTGCTGAATAACAGAAATCTCAGTGTGTCTCAGAAAAAAAAAACAAAAACAAAAAAACCACCAAGTTTCTGCAATGGCATGAGCACCTCTATTAAATGAATGTAAGTAGCAGGTTACTAACTAATTCACGAGGATATTGGAGAAAAGGTATGGGAGAAGATGTTACTATTGCTCCTGATTGATCTGTTAGAGGATTTTACCTTTCATAATCATATTTTGCAAAACTTAATGTTGTTTATGTATACAACCAGATCATGTAGACAAAATGCAACATTTAATTGCAAATTTGCTTTACTGTTTACAACTAACCATCCATGTTTTCTGAAAATCTCTGTTTCTAACAAAGTACTCAATTACAAGTATTGAGTTGGAACCTGGATATTTCAATCAGTCTTCATAAATGTAGTTTCCTGATAAAAGAAATAATTCTGTTTCTTGGGACATAGGAACTTTTTGAGACAAATTCCCATTGGGACTGCTTTATGTCAATGATTAGGTACATCCCCAAGACTTCTTTAGCTTTTAATAAATCTCTGTAGGACACCTTTTTGTCTCTAAATTGTATTTGAGTTTCAAACAGAATTAAGCACTGCACAAAGAGCATTTAAACCATATTTGTAGTAGATGGATTCACATGTAGAGGCAATCTAAGTTTTACTCAGAGGATACTGCACTAACAGTCCTTCTTTTTTCAGTCATTCAGCCATAAAGTTTATGGTGGTTCTGACATATTTTTATCTTGTTCAATATAGTTTTGATTATTTAAAAGTTTTATGGCTTTCTTAAAATGGTTAGATCAATTTGCTGAATACTCACAGGACAGAAGTTTAGGATGACACAATGTGTCTTACAAGTTTTTCTTGTCATTCCAGTAGCTGCTCAGATTCTCACTATGTTTTTGTCTGTTTGTGGTCGTCATTTTCATAAAGTAAAATGCAATGTTCTTTTCAGACACAGAAGCAGAAGGGGTACCTAGAGTAAAATAATTTTCAAATCTGATGAATTTTTTTTATATTTTTATTAATGTTGATTCTTGGAGGTTTTTTAAGCTGACAGTATAAAACTTGGTCTATAACTTCAGATAACTTAAAAGAATATATACAGAGCAAATGACTGAGTCATTATTTCAAACTTAGAGTTTTCTTCTACTTTTAGGGAGCTCATATTAGTATAAAAGAAAATTGCAGTTTTCAAGTTGAAGTCTTCACTTCTCCCATATATGAATGATGTAATCAGTATTTAATTTTTGCCAGTGTTATGTGTCAAAGTCAAAGGAAGCAGATTTAGAAGACCAAGGACAGATTTTTAATTATCGCCAGGAATTCATTTCAGTGACAAGGGACGTTCAAAGTATTTCACTTTGCAAAATCATCAGTCTCACTGATGTTCAGTTCTTTCACTTCAATGTGCAGAGTTTCAGTGTTATCTTTGATCATTAAGGATCCTAAGGAACCTGTTGTAGTACTTTAAAGATGAGAGTGTGGGGTTTTTTCCATGTTGCTACTTTATTCCCTTCACTCCTTGCATTTTGCTTAAGAGAAAGTCTCTCTCTACTTTACTTGGTAGTTTTCTGTCCTTTCCCTAGCTATCCATTGTTTAGTTACAACACCCTCAGTAGTAAGTTAAATCTTAAATATTTGTAGTTGCAATAGATAACGTTTTATTCCTATGTAATGACAGTTTATAAGCTCTGTCTCACAGCTAAAATGAAGTCATCTCACCTATCCACTGCTACATCCATCACCACCTTTGTAAGACTACATTTAATTCTGCTAGTTAGTCATTTTTTCTGTTACTTTCTGTCTCCTATGAAGAACTATTGCCCTTATCATTCAGAAGTAGACATTCACCTAAAGACCTAATATTCCCTATGTAGAAGGAATGACACATGTAATTTATGTAAAAGTTCCAGTTGCAGAAAATTTCTGAAATTAAATAGCCTAGAAAAACTTAAATTTTTAAAGCTTTTAAACGCTTTAAACTTTTCTTGAAATAAAAAAAATGCTGATGAAAGCTGTTTCTATGACAAAAAGACCTTATTTCAGTAATTTCTCATGCTTACTAACAAAGCCACCACTCAGTGTTAAATGTGTACATTGACATCCACACAATCAAATTAGTTACAAATAAATGCTAAACTCAATTAAGATTTATTTTTTCAGTCTAGTGTTTTTTCAATATAGAACTGCTATGTGAAGTAAGCACATTAGCAGATGGGAGCAAGTGGAGTTGGAAAGATGTTATTGTCAATTATTGTTTTTGCAAATTTTTTCAGTAGAAATATTCAGTATTTATCAGTAAAAGAAAAATCAGGTTCCTTACCAGAAATTCTTAGCTAACAATAGTTTTGGTTTTTTTTCTTCTTGCTTCTTACCACTTCTTCCTACGGTGGTAATCAAAGTGAAATATGGGAAGTGTGTGAATGTATTTTAAAGTTTGAATGCATACACTAAATTTCCAAGTGAACTTTGTTTTCTTTTTGTTTATGAAGTTTGCATAAGCTGAAGTTTACTCTGCCTAGGAACATGCTTGAGTAAGTAGCAAGTGCTTTGGCATGGCTGTTTAGCTGTGATTAGGTTGAGAAGCATGGAAAAGTGCAAAGAATGTTCTAAATTGTTAGGGTGATCTACATA